TAGGCTTCCTCTCAAACCTATTATTACACCTTTAATCCCCAACTTTCAACCCCTGCTCTCCAACTCTGCCCTGTTTGGGGGCCTAGCTCACTTTCCCTGTGCAACTGAGTTCCTTCCCCAGGTCGCAGGTCTCATCCACTTCTCACTTCCTCATTCTGTCCATGTGTCCTCATTCTCCATTTGTTTCATCCTTCTTCTCAGGCTGTGAAGAACTTGTGCAGCTCTTTCCAATTTTCTAAAGAAAACACTCCATCAATTCTGTATGTTCCTCTAGCTTCTACTCTGTTGTATTTATTCCTTTTTGAGTCAAGAATCCTCTCCCTGCCAGGTTTCCATGCAACAAATGTTCATTGGGGTTGCAGAAATGGAGTTGTGTTTTTCATAGAGCTGACTTTCCACCAGGAGGGAACAGGAATAAACAGACAAGTAGGCAAACACCTTCACAGCATGTGCAGGGAAGGGACAAGAATGGAGTGAGGTGGGAGAGATAGCAGCGTGACTGGGGCTGGGGCAGAAGAGATGCCGAGAGTGAGATAGAAAAGGCCTTTCTGAGGAAGTGGAATTTGAGTTGAGACCTACATAGTGCCAGAACCTGTGAGAAAACATCCCAGGCAGGGAGGAAGAGAGATCTACATTCCTGAGGCTATAATAAACTTAACAGTTGTAATGAGTTGAAAGGAACATACTCAGCTCACTGCTGCCACTTCAGTTGTCATCAGATTTCAAATCTTCCCCAGCCTGGCTTCATCCCTGCCACTTCTCTGAAGCCACCATTGGTGATCACCAGTGATCTTCAGCCCCAACCAGTGGACCAGTTTCCTCCTCATAATACTGAACCTCGATGCAGCACCGACACCACTGAGCAGTTCCTCTCTCCATCAGGAACATGTGTTCCCTGATGTTACTGCCTTCTGCCTCTGAGTCTGTCTGTCATTGCACCTTCTCATCCACCTATCTTTAACTGATAAATAATAATTGTGTGTATTTATGGCATATAATGTGATGTTTTGGACTTTGTATACATTATAGAAAGATTCAAACCAACATACTCATTATCTCACCAGTTTATCTTGTGTATGTGGTGAAAACATTAAACAATCTATTTTAGCAGTTTTGAAATATACACTATTATTGATTGTAATCACGTGCAGAGCAACAGATCACTAAAACTCCTTCAGTCCAACTGAGAATTTGTACCCTTTGACCTGCATTTCTCTTTCCACATCCCTTCCCCTCCCCAGTTCAGCAACTTGTAAAGACCATTCCACTGTCTGCTTCTATGAATTCAGTTGTTTCGTATTCCACATATAAGTGAGAACATGCAATCTGTGCCTTTCTGTGTTTGGCTGATTTCACGTAGTATAATGTTCTCCAACTCCATCCATGCTATCACAAACGACAGAATTTCTTCCTTCTTTAAGACTGATTAACACTCCATTGTATATGTACATTCCAAGTGTTCTTAGGTTATTCATGAAAGACACTTAGGTTTCCTCCCTGTCTTGGCTGTTTTAAAGAATGCCACACATAGGAGTGAAGACAACTCTCAGACATTCTTGGCTCCTGCCTGGTCTAAAGGCTTTGCCTGGCTAAACTCACCTACAGCTTCAATTTATATGGTAGGAATGCCCAAAGCAATATGTCTGACATAGACTTATGTGCTGGCTTCAAACCTACTCACATAGCTCCTCAAATCAGCATAGCCAACACTGAACTCATAATTCCTTTCTCACCTATACCAGGAGTCACCCTGTCTTCCTCCCCTGCTTTCCCTTCCCCTGCCATACTATTCTCCAACCACACTCTCCAGCCTCTTCACCTTCCCATCACCTCCACTGCCAGGATTGTGGTTCAGGCCCTTGTGGTGTTCTATGGCAACAGGCGGCTCCTTCCACGTTACTTCCAATGGCATTCCTTGTCATCCAGCCGTGCTCTCCTCTGCTGCTAGGCGAGCATCCTGGAAAGGCCTCATCTGTCCCTGGTGCTCCAGGACAGTCACACTTGTGAGGATGGCTTGGTGGGCACATGTGACATGGCCCCTCCCTAACTCCAGTTTCGGCTCCCACTTCTCTCCCACCCTACCAACCTTTTGAACTCCAGCCTTGCTGAACTGCTTCGAGTCTGCCAAAGCTAACAAGCTGTTTTGTGTTTGTTTAGTTTTTCAGTATCCCCACTTAGGCTGTGATCTTTCCTTAGCATACCTTCTCTGATTTTGTAGAACTGGAAAAGCCCAATGAGTCTTCATTCTGTGAAACTTCTTCTGTCAGATTGTCCATCCCTCCAGCATGTGGAGGCACCCCCCCACTTTTGCTCTCTTACACCTTGGGCTGATTCTATAATGTGCTTATTATATTATTTACACTTACTTTGTTTTCCTACATGCCTTCTCTAAAATGTGAATTCAGAAAGCATTGGTCTTTTACTATGCTCATCTATTTTTGCAGTGCTGGGATTTGAACTCAGGGCCTCACACTTTCTAGACAAACACTCTACCACTAAAGCTCTTTTCACTTTAATTATTTTTTAAATAACGTTTTGTGATTTTGCCTTTGGTTGACTTTGGACCATGACCCTCCTACCTATGCCTCCAGTGTAGCTGAGACCACAGATACATGCCACCATACCCAATTTATTTCTTGAGGTGAAATCTTTTTGCCTGGGCTGGCCTCAAACCACAATCCTCCTGATTTCTACCTCCTATGTACCTGGGATTACAGGTGTGCACCACCATGCCTGGCCTGGGTTCATTTTTTTATCTCTAACATAGAATACAACCCATGATAAACAATAGTCATCAGAAAAAAATCAGTAAGTATAAAACCGAGTTGTCATTTGACTATAGACTGTGTGAGGCTGGGAGGTCACCTGTGAGGATCCCAGTCCACTGCAGCACTGGAATCTTAACACGCCTCAATTTTCTACTTTACCTGTAAAAGCAGAGCTTCCAGGCGGAGGCACTGGAGTGATGGCTCATCTTGTGTGGTCTGGGGATGAGAAGCTCTATCTCAGCAGAATTTTCTAGATCACTGAAGCAACAAATAATAAACAAAATATTATTTTGGAGTAAAATCTTTCTCAGGGACTTTCCTGATTCTCTTTGTGAGCAGAACAAGCAAAATCTTCTCTTCCAGAATCACAGAGAAAGCAGGTGTGGCTCTTACAGTAGTGTCTTCAAAGATAGTTTACATGAGGTATGTTTTGTATTAAGTGGTCTGAGACATCTACAGTTCATGGATTGTACATGTATGAATTCAACCAACCTCAGATCGAACATATTTTTGAAAGTTACATATGTACTTAATATGTACAGACTTTTTCATGTCATTATCACCTAAGCAATAGAATATAACAAGTATTTACCTAGAATTTGCCTTGTATTAGGTATTACAATACCTAGAGATGATAAGGAGCATACAGGAAGATGTGTATAGGGTATGTGTAAATACTATACCATTTAATATACGGGATTTGAGGATCCTCCTCTGATATTCATCTCCCCCACAGATACCAAATATCCACTCCTCCCTCCGCTAAAATCCCTCTTCTACAGAGTAGAAATTCAGAGAACTTATTTAACAACTGTCGAAATTATACAGTAAAGTAAAAGAAAAGTCATATGGTGGGATGTGAGGATTAGCTGTAGGTGAATGAGCCAAGTACAGTGGGGTTCTCTGCCCACTTTATGTTGCTTGTTTGACATCTTAGGAGCTGTTTCCATACTTTTCTGTGCTCTAGGTGGTCACTGTTGTATATGAAAAGTGACTCCAGGGAGTAAACCCTTGAACAGGGCTATGTTCCAGGCAGCCATTGATAAGCAGGTGGACACAGACAAATTACAACTTCTTTGTATCTCAGTTGGGCCATCTGTCTGGACCAAATGATCTCCAAGGTCCTGATATGTTCTGAGGTACCAAAAAAAGCATCAGAAAAGGAAAGCTTAAGACAAAAAGCGTCTGGAGGACAAAGGATGGCTGTGGATTGAGAATGTGATGGGCATCTTCCGGAGGGAGAGGTTCAGCTTAGGTGGGTGGGAGGTGGCAATTAGACTGGTGAAGTATGTGTGTGTGGGAGAAGGTGCAAGGTCTTTCAGAGGAGAGCAGTCATGGTGGGAAAACATATATAACACAAAAGTGACCATTTACCATTTTAAGTGTTTGGTTCAGTAGGGTTAAAAATATTCACTTTTTACACACTAGTCATCTCCAGCATGTTTTCATCTTGCAAATAAAAATTCTGATCCCATTAAACACTAATCCCCTCCATTCCCTGTTCCTCCCCTCCCCCCAGCCCCTGTTAATCCTAATTCTTCTTTCCATCTCCATGACGCCTTGTGTGAGTAGAATCACACCTTTTGTGGCTGGTATGTTTCTCTCAGCATAATGTCCTCAGAGTTTATCCTTGCTGTGGCTTGTGTCCAAATTTCGTTTGTTTTTAAGATTGAATAATATTCCATTGTATGCGTGTACCACATTGTGTTTACCCATTCATCTGTTAATGGAGATTTGTGTTGTGTCTGTCTTTTAGCTATTGTGAAAATGTGGTTATGAACATATATTTAACTTTTTGAGGACCTGCTAAACTGTTTTGACAGCAGCCGTACCATTTTGCATCCCCCCACAGCAGTGCATGAGGGTTCCAGTTCCTCCAGGGAAAGAGGAGTTACTGTGCTCAGTGTGAACCACCTTGACTACAGCCCAGACTTCCCCTGAGGCAGCAGCAGGACATGCAATTGGGACTGTAGATAAGGGCCAGATTGCTGTGGGTCTTGAAACCAGGCTGTGATGTTGGTATTCTGCAGGCCTCAGGAAGCCGGTGATGTCTTTTGCACTCGGGAAGAGCAGGATTAGTGGAATACTGTAGATAGGTGAGAGGCCAAAGGCTATGTGTAGTACGGATCAGACCCTAGGGGCCAGGACAGCAGTCAGCAGATGATTGCAGCTATCTGCTGGGAGACTTGCGTTTGAGGAAGGAAGGTAAAAAGTCAGGGATGAATATGGACGATGGAGAATGAATACGGAGTTGCAGGTGGGAGGCTTGAGGAATTCTGCCTGGGCTCAGCCTTGCAACATTGGTTGCCTCCTGTGTACACCATGTTGACTGAGGGTGAGGAGTGCAAGTAAGGAGTGGTATCTTCTTTCTTCAGTGTCCTGATTTCTAAGAGAGGGGAGAGGGCCAGTTAGCCAGTCCACTCCTGGCACACTAAAGGAATAGACTGTGCAACAGGTGGGTGGTGTGGCTCAGAGACAGAGCACTTACCTAGCATATGTGAGACCCTAGGGTTTCATCACCAACAAGATACACACACACACACACACACACACACACACACACACATGGCTTTGCAGTAGACTACAGAACTGTTTCTTGTATTCCTGGAAATGTCCCCACCTACTTGGGGTTCCTATAGCTTGACCCCTTAAGTAGGGCAAGACAGACATTGAGATGCTCACGTAGGGAGCCAAAACACCCAACTCAAGGTAAGTCAAACATCTGAGGAGAGAAAAAAGATGCCAGTGATATGCATAAAGGCCTTATTTTAATGTTTAATGTACATCATAATAAAATAATAGTATCTTATATAATATTATGACTTACGTATTCCTTATATGCTTGGGACTTGGATGAATTGTTTTGGATTTTGGAATTTTTCAGATTTTGGAATATTTGCATAGGCTTTACCAGTTGAATCATAAAATTATATCGAAATGCTCCAAAATCTAAAACTTTTTGAACATTATGTCTGTGCTCAAGTTCCACATTTCGGATTATCCCATACAAGGAAGGTGCTTGTGTGGCTGATTTGTTTTGTATTTTTCATGTGTACATGAAAATATCCCTGCTTTGGAATGCTTCTGTCCTCTTTCTCTCTGTTCTTCTGTGTTTCTGCCACTGAAGTTTTCAGGGATTCTTTTAGGTGTGGCCTCTGTGGTAGCTGAAGATGAGCTGAGAGTTTATCTTGTGCAGCTATGAGAATGTGCATTTGGGTATAGTGGCTGGGTGGCAGGGTATGAGCTTTGGTGGACATAGGTTGCAAGAGGGTTTTAAATAACTCATTTTAAAAAGATGAACTTAAGACATCTAAAGTCAGATTTATAAGACATAATTAAAATAATTAGGCAAAGTATGGGGAAGCATGTTTAAAAGTTCATGTGATACCTATTTTTGAGGCAAATGTAGAAGACAGTGAGAAACCAGCTTAAATTGTAGCGTGATCTTCCTGATGGGAGGTGGGCCATGCCTGAAACCACCTGTTGTGCCTGGGATCCCTGTTGCACTGGGCTGATGAAATGGGGACCACAGAGATAGTTGGTGTTAGACTGATACAGAGAACACTATTAATAAGAGTTATTACATACTCTGGGTCCTTTATAAATAGATGTTTATCTTTTGAGACAGATTTGGGTACGTTGCTGTCTGTGTTTTCAACTCTGTGGACTTAGGTTTTAAAAAAGTTAATGATTCTTATCCTGATGCTGAGAAAGAATAATGGCTCAGTGGAAGAAACAATCCCCCAGCCCGTGTACATTTTTATTCGCTTGTTCAATGTCAGCAGCGTCTTCCAAGTTTATTGCTGTGTGGAGAAGCTATGCTGCTGACAGGGTATAACAAACGTGTGACAAGGTACTGCCACCGGCCTGCAGATTTGCCTCTGTGACCACTGGATTCCTTATTGGACCCTACGAGTTGGTGGTTTAACCAGCTGCCTTACACATCCTCAGAGGTGGAGAGAGGTCCTGCTTCCTCACTGGGGACTAATTGTCTAAAGAAATTAACAGACTTTGAAGGGAACCACTTAAGGTTTTCAACAAAGTCCTTTGAGTGTCCAGAGAAATAAACTTTCTTTTTTTCATGAATGGCTGCAGCAAGGACTCTGAATTCTTTTCCAGAATGAACTCAGCAAAGCTCTCCAGCTTCCATGATGCTATGCTTGACCCTGTTACCCAAGGACACAGTGAAGGCTTTAGAGGAGAACCGAGTCCTTGTCCTTTTCTTCCTGGGTCCCTCAGTGACTGGTGCTCACTGGTAGTGCATTGCGCCTTTGGAGCCTTCAGACAGAGCCCATTGTTTGGCGTGGGAAATTAGGCCACTTTGAAAACTTGCAGTGCCAAACTCTTCTCTGTGTACCTCCGGGGATGCAAACTTTGAACAGGATCAAGGAGGCTGTAAGAGCAGAGCTGCAGGATGCAAAACTCCCAGAAGGCAAAGCACAGAGAAGAGAACTTGGCAATGTGTTGTGAAGAAGATGGGTAGTTCCTCAAAAGAAAAGAAGAGGGAGAGTGAAGAGGAAAGAGAGAAGTGGATTGTAAGATGTCTTGAAGAGCTGTAGCTCACCGTACACAGACCTTTTCCTCTGGAGATTTATTTTTGTAGCTACTCCAAGACTGAGAGGGGCATTCTCAGCTAACGTGGGAATTAAGAGAAGATCTGGAAGAGAAAACATGGCATAAATCAAAGATAAAAGCTTCTTTGGTGATTTGTTGTTTTACTAGCTTTTCCTTTTTCCCCTGACTCAGGAAAACACCCACGATACTAGTGATATTAGGAAGCAAAGGGATCCTGGACACCAGGGGAAGTGTTTGCTCTTTAGACAGGGGATTCTGTCACTAAGGTCCCCGGGAGGCTCGTCCTGAGAGGAGCTGAGATGCTAAGGACACATCGTCAACCCAACAAGTGATGCTCAGTTGCGTTTCAGCAACAATGGCGTGGGGTTGAACACAGTTTGAAGGGACCACAAACAGACTTCTCTCCTGCTTCCCAATCTCCTGAATACACCCTGTGACAACAGGGGTGACAGAAGAAAGGAGGGTAAAGACGATGGTGAGCACACGTTGAGGTTTACCTGCTGTGATCACTTCACATATACTACCGCGTTCACTCCTCCTAAGATCCTATGGAGTAATTTTCCACAGTAAACCTGTTCATCCAGAATTCAAACCCAGGCATACGGCTTGAGTATGGGCTCTGAAGCACCGAGCCTCACTGCTTAGAGGCAGAAAGGGAGGTGTGGAACTAAATACGTGTGTTTGCCCACCATACCTGGTAGTTTATGTGTTGCCTGCCTTAATGCTTCTAGAAGCTTCCAGGGGGTCTCATAACCCATGTGTCCAGCCCTGACCTCCTTCAAGATCCTCTGAACATTATGGTTGGCTCATCTGAAATGGATTATAATTTCTAAGAGGTAATTTTAAAACACACACATTTTTCCTTTTCCCTCCCTCCCTCCTGCCCACCCTCTCTCCCTTCCTTTCTTTCCTTTTTTTTTTTTGAGACAGAATCTCACCATGTACCCCAGGCAATCCATGGATCCTCTTGGCCCAGCCTCCCAAGAGCTGAGGTTACAGGTGTGTGCCAGCTGTGCCATGTCTGTGCCACACATGCTTTTTGAGTTAAATAAACATAATAATTTTAATATTATCCTAAACATACTGCAGAAAACATGAATAACAGAAGAAATAACACATCCCACTCCGTGTCATACCAGCTCATTTTGGCGTATTTCTAACAGTCTCTCTTTGAATGCCTCTGAATAATATGAATGCAGTTTTGTATCTAACATTACAGGTTTTTCCCCATGTTTTTACAAAGTCTTCACAACTGTGATTTTTTAAACTGGTGGTATTTTGATTTCTCTTGGTATATTAATTGTTGGATGAAGAGATTTAGTATTAATTTCGAAAGGCATCTTGTGCTAAATCTTGGTTATCAAAAGACACCTGGCAGCCAAGGGTAATTTATGAAATTGCCTCTCTTTGTCTTTCTGTTCACAGGCATCTACCGAACCGAAAGGGATAAAGGCACTTTGTATGAGCTCACCTTCAAAGGGGACCACAGACATGAATTCAAACGACTTGTCTTGTTTCGGCCTTTTGGCCCTATCATGAAAGTGAAAAAAGAAAACCTCAACATGGCCAACACGCTTATCAACGTTATCGTGCCCCTGGCAAAAAGGGTGGACAAGTTCCGGCAGTTCATGCAGAATTTCAGGTTTGTTTGTTTGCACATGTTTATCTTCCTCTGCGCAGTGCGTGTTAGAACATTGATATCACTTCCCGTCATCTCCTCCATTTCCCCTGCCGAGTACAAAGGCCCCTTTGTCTTGCTGTTCCACTCTGTTTTCTTCATATGAAGTTTATCATTTGTATTTGCCTTTCTCCAAAGCAATTAGAAAACTTCCAGGTAGGCAGAATGACCTTCAAATGTGAAAACTAGGAAGGACAAGCGGGTTTCCCTCAAGATGACCTAATGACTGCTGTGCTCCATTCTGACTTGAATTGGGGTTCACGTCTGGGAATAGTAGGAACTGAGACTCTCAAAGAATGTAAGTGACATTGTAAGTCTTGAGGAGCAGCGAGGAGCTAGCTGGTGACCAAGCCCAGGACTGCTCAGTCATGGCCTGCTGCTAGAAGAGATCGGTTCCATTGGCTGTCCCACACTAGCTGCAGTGGAATGGATTAAATCTGTATATTTTTTTATTCTAAGCTACATTCCCCTGAGATTAAATTTAGAACCACACCAGGGATGTTTCAAGTTCTTACTTTTGTAGCTACTCCCTAAGACTAAGTAGAGTTTTATTTTCAGATGCACTAATGTAGTTTATGTGCAACATTGGATCTTACAAGCTTTTATGTCTAAAATTCACATATTGGCTGAGGTTAACCAGCTAGCTTGTTTAGTCAGTTTATTTTAAAAACAAAAGTCATATGATCTAATTATAAGTCTTGGAAGATCAAACTGATTTTTAATCTTTTATCATTAAGTTCGTATTATTAAAAGGCAGAAGTGTTCAGTATGAAGATGTGGTTGGTACTACTCAAAATTCTAATTCATGAACACATGGTGTTTTTTTAAATGTAAATAGTAACCCTTTTGTAATGGAGTTATTAATATAAGAATCAAAGAGTCTTAGAAGAGACTTTTGCAGTCTCTTAAATTTATCTAGGAGAATCTGAAGTCTAGCAGAAGAAATTGCTGAATTTTAAGAAATTATCTTTTCACTGTAAGAGATATTAGTTCCTAAGTTAAAAAATGATTCTTACAAAAAAAGTTGGAATTATTATGTATTTTTACAATGTATTTTATTTTTTAGACTGGTTGATGGAAAAATTGCAATAAGAAAAGGAATTCAGCATAGTAAATATTTTCTTCCTCCTCTATGCTCCATCTTTCAATTTTTGTTCACCATGTATTATTTTTGCATTGTTGGGGTATACAGCCTTCTTTGCAACCTACTTTGCAAAGCACTAGTTCTATATTTAAGTGGGTTTAATGTATCCAGCCGTCCTCTTACACTAGCACCTCCATTCCTGAGTTCTTAGTTGACTGTATTTCATGGTCTAGAAACTTCATGACCAGCTCTACCTATGTGGACATGGGATGTCTACCTGCATGTGTGTGGTGTAAGGATAGCCTGAATGGGCTTGGAGTTTGTGGACGTGCTTCCTTTCCTCAGGACTTTGTAGACTTTCTTCTGACATTGAAAGATACCATGCAGAAGTATGATAACACTTTATCATGTCTCTCCTGAAAATGACCTCCTTTTGCCTCAAAGCCTGAAGTATCCCTTCTTTAGTCTTGAATCATAATAATTTAATTAGGATCTATCTCCTCTCAGTGTCTATTATTCTGAAATCTAATGGATTTCATTTCAGTGAGATTTCTTGATGTTCTGTTTTGAGTACTTCTGCTTCATTTGTTGGGTTCTTGATACATGAACACAATTGTATATTTCACCAATCTCCATTTCTTTGCATCTCTGTTTTTTAATGCCTTAGTCTTTTATCTGAATTCACTAGTCTTCCCTGTTGTCAATAATTTGATTTTTTGATGTATCTATTCTGTACCTTGCTATTTCCTACTTAATACTTCTGTTTGTTTTGGCCACTGGTTTGTTTCCTGAGCACACAATGTGCGTGTTAGTCTTATTTTGTTATTTGTATCATTTCCTCTTTGAACTTTTTTTATTGAATTCACATTTTTGTTAGTGTGTAAGAAATTTTCTTTTGAGTCCTATTTTCTTCCAGACTGGGTTTTCATTGGCATGGGATGCTACTTCTTTAGTTGTGTTCTTACTGCTGGGATGGAGCTACTGTTTCTTTTCATCTTTCCTTTGCCCACGCAGCTAGCTACCTGGCTGGCTTCTTGTTCGCTGTGACTGGTACCTGTGGGTTCTCCTTGGTTCTGTCTGCATCTTGACTGAGAATTGTATTTTGAGGGCATAATATTGTTCTAGTCCTATTATTTATGGGGTGAAAGGACAAGCAGGGAAGGGAAGGAGCTTAGCTGAGCTGTATGCAACATTCATGGGAAGTTCCCTGTTCATGTGGCCCTTTTGAGCCATGGGATGGTTATGGGACTTGTGCCAGGCTCACTGGTCTGGTTGAGATGTATCCTTCCCTGAGGGGAGGTGCATTTGGCTCTCAGTGTGGACCCTCTGGTGAGGTCTGCAGCCTCAGAAAGAATCAGCCCCATTTGTTAATTTCTCTCACTCACCATCTTCAGCAGCATTTTATACTCCTAAAAGTCCAAAAGAAGGCTGGGTGTGATGCCTTTTGCCTGTAATCCCAGCTCCTCCAGAGTGGTGATCAGGAGGATCAAAGTCCAAGGCCAGTCCAGGGCAAAAAGTTAGCAAGACCCTATCACAATCAATAAGCCGTGTATGGTGGTGCACACCTGTGATCCAAGCTATGCAGGAGGTGTAAATAGGAGGATCAGTGTCTAGGCTGACCCAGGCAAAAATGAGAGACCCTAGCCAGAAAAGAACTAGAGCAAAAAAAAAAAAAAGTCAAAAGGAAGAAAAAAGCAAGTTTGAACTGTGCATTTAGTGATGGGGGATATATTTGATATTTCATCTTCCTGAGTATTGCTCACAGTTTTTAAAAATCATGAAGAATAAAAAAAAATCCTTTTTTCCTCCTTTTGACCTATAGGTAGAAGTGAAAATCATGCTGAAGACAGGGAGTGAGAGAAGAAAAAGGAAAGTTTTTTTCTGGGAGGGGCTCAGAGGTGAAGACCCAAGAAAAATCCATAGCTTATTATGAGAGTCTTCCTGCTATCAAACAAAACAGTGAGATAACAGATGGGCTTAAAATCAAAAACACAGAAGCTGAGAGAAACTTAGCAGCCAAAAACAAATGTGGAGCTAGTGGAATGTGGAGGCAAAATGAGGTGATTAAAAGAAGTAAAGAACAGGTAGGTTGGAGCCAATATTCTACGGGGTAATGGGGTGCACATAAAAACAGGACCTAGATTTGAGCAAGTTCCCTGGTGAGCCCCACTATTCATCCAGCCACAGGTAAAGGAGTCTTTATGATACGGAGGAAGAGGGTGGGGCATTCGTGGGAGAGGAAATGCACATGGAGCCTGTGAGGTTTCCACACCAACCAGGGTCAGGACCAGGATGAGGATGACGGCAGCAACGTGGAGGGAGCCAGTTTAAGTGACCAGTCCCTGACCTCCAGGTTCTGAGATGGGGTCATGCAACCCCCGAACACCCTACAGTACCAAGAGTAAGAGTACTCATTGCTCTGAGGGCTGCAGGGGGGGTTCTGTTTTTACTCAAGGGGATGACAGTACTCAAGTTTTAGCATCACAGATTTCATAAACCCTAGGCATATTGTTCATTTGGTGTTCATTGTCTCCTAAACAAAAACTCTTAGGATTTCCTTCTAGGAGCAAGCTTGTGTCACCAACAACTAGCAGGCTTCTTTTTATTCACTATTAAGGGCTGAAGTAAACTAGCATTTGTTTCCCTCTTTTCTCCTTGTCTGTTGGGCAGTTCAGAAACTCAGCTTTCTGGAGGGCTTTGATTGTTTCAGTTAGTCATACCTTCCAGGTATACTCTCCCACACCACAATTGAGTTCTAGTAGACTGAACTTTATAAAAATGGCTTTATTAATTTTTTTTGTAAATATAGATAAGTAATTTTTGGTTAGTTAACATGACTCTAACAATAAGAAAAAATAGTGGATGATAAATATTTGAGTCCCTTGTTCCCAGGGCCCTCCCCAAATAGTTCTGTAGCAGGAACAAGTGGACTTGGTTCCTTGAAGACTGCACCCTATACTGGCCACTACCTCAGGTGACCCAGCCTTCCCCAGGGGCCAAAGAAGCCTGCTCTCTGAGTTCCACATTCATTCCTTCTGTCCAAGGAAAAGTGAAAATATATTTATTCTGAGTCTTAACCTGTGAACCTTCCTAGGTGAACAATCAGTAAATTTATGCTAAAATGAAACCTAAAATTATCTGTTGCAATCAGCACAGTGCTGCAAGGGGGCCCATCTGAACCAGTACCTGTGTTTTCTAGAAGGTCCTAAAGCTGAGATATATGAAGCTGCATGGGAAAGTTTCCTCAGCCAATTGGCACCAAAGCAATCTGATATCCAAAAGATGATGCACTGGAAGGATAATGTTTTTCTGGCAGCACTAGGGTTTGAACTCAGGGCCTCATGCTTGTTAGGCAGGTACTCTTACTGCTTGAGCCACTCCATCAGCTTGAAGGATAATGTTTCAAATAAATCAAATAGTGATAACTGGAAAACATGTACCAAAAACAGTAGAAAAATCTTGCCACCAATACATGACCAATGAAAGATACATATTCTTCTGCCATAAATGTCTCAATAAGGAGGCCAGAGGAAAAACAATGGAGGGCCCCATTGCAGACTTAGATAGCTCTGACTCCAAAGGGCTGCCTGTAGAAGGGGAGCTCATGAGTGGGACAATGAAGAAGAAGCCAGCTTAGGTGATGAGAGGCAGCCCTGGGGTCATAGGGAGACTACAGGAGTCCTGAGAGCCCACCCTAGCACCCTGCACCAACCAGCAGCAGAAAGAGAGCAGAATATCTTGGCCTTTCTACATTGCAATGAAGGTGGAGAAGGCAGGGGGCTCCATCCTGATCATGCTTTGTGGACTGACCCATGCAAAAGTAAGTGGATGTGACAGAAGCAAAGGAAGAAAGATATTCACATTTAATCAAGTCCTATCAGAGCAGGAAGTGGGAGTTTTAATTGTGCATCAGTGCTTCTAGGGGAATTGGGGAACATGAAGAGATCCTTCATCTGGCCTCAGTATTTCTCTGGTGGCTGGTCATTTCAGCAGGCTCCTTTGATCTTGCTACTGTTGTCCTGGCCCACGTGAGAACCTCACAGGCTCCACGTGTCATTTCCTTTCCCATGGATATACCACCCTCCTCCCTTGGTAACTCATAAGGACTCCTTTGCCTGTGGTTGGGAATAAAGGGGCCCACCAGGAGAACCTGCTCAAATCTAGGGCCTGTTTTTATGTGCACCCCTTGCTCCAACCTACCTTCGCTTCTTTGCTTCTTTGTATAACTTCATTTTGCCTTTGAAACTATCTCCACATTTGTTTTTGGCTGCTAAGTTTTTCTCAGCTCCTATTATTTTTTTTTAATTTTTATTGTTTTATTATTCATATGTGCATACAATGCTTGGGTCAATTCTCCCCCCTGCCCCAACCCCCTCCCTTACCACCCACTCCGCCCCCTCCCTCTCCCCCCTACCCCCTCAATACCCAGCAGAAACTATTTTGCCCTTATCTCTAATTTTGTTGAAGAGAGAGTATAAGCAATAATAGGAAGGAACAAGGGTTTTTTCTAGTTGAGATAAGGATAGCTATACAGGGAGTTGACTCACATTAATTTCCTGTGCGTGTGTGTTACCTTCTACTAACCTTTTCTCTAGTTCCTGGTCCCCTTTTCCTATTGGCCTCAGTTGCTTTTAAGGTATCTGCTTTACTTTCTCTCTCAGCTCCTGTTATTTCATTGTGTGTTTTGTTTGATAATAACAAAGCTGTAGATTTTCTTTGCATCTTTATCTCTGAGCCTCTCTGGTGGTAGGGGGAGGACTTTTTAAACTTTTTAAAAACTTCTTAAAACTTTTTCCCATTCAGTCCAAGTTTGCTTCCTTCTTATTTTGACTGCTTCCAGCTGGACTGAGTGCCCTTTTTCTTGTTGCTGGGTTACTCCTCAGAATATAATTTCTGATGTAATGCTGTCCTTAGTTTTTTTTTCTTCTGGCTCTACTCTCAGGATACTGTTTTGTAAGCAGATTTCAGAAAGTTCCCAATAACTCTGTTCTCTGTCCAAGACAGAACCTGTTCCTTATTTCCACTCCCACTGTGACAGCAGTTTCCTTCCTGTTGTCATAGCAGACTATAGGTAACTCTGGCTTGGGCTGCCAGCACCCTTCATAGTTTGGATTCTGTAAAGAAAGCCTTTTAGGGATGGGGTGTGGCTCAAGTGGTAGAGCACCTGCCCAGCAAGTGTGAGGCCCTGAGTTCTAGCCCCACTTTTCACCAGAAGGAGGAAGGGGGGAGGGAAAGGAAGGAAGGAAGGAAGGAAGGAAGGAAGGAGGAAGGAAGAAAAGAAAGAAAGAGAGCCTGTCAGCTCTGTCTCTTGCTGAGACTCACATGAGAGTTCACAAGAGTGGGTGGGAGTGCAGGACAGGCCCTGGGGATATGCATTATTCCTACGACTAAGCTGCCCTCATGAAGCAGGCATGTTTACTGAGCCTGATTCTTCCTCAAGACAGGGGCTCAGAACTGAGGGCATTTAGTAGCCTCACTTGCTGACATTTGGCAAGTTAGAGAGACATTTTTTGGTTGTCATAGCTAGGTTGGAGGGATGCTAGTGACATGCAATTGGCAGAGTCCAGGAAAACTGCTGTACCTACTACAATGTATAGGACAGCCCCTCCCTCAATGAGGAATTATACATCCATACTCTCATCCCTACCTAAGGATGAGTTCTCTCTTCAAGGTTACCACCCATCCTCCAAACAGGCCTTGAGTAAGCCTTTCCCCAGCCAGCCAAAGCTGCCAATTATATCTGACTGCTTTCTGCAGCAGGAACTCAAGTTGAACAGTCTTCCCTATTGCCAGTTTATGTGTGGAGTTTGTGGTTGGGCAGGTGAGTTACCAGGCTGGTCCTTAGGAATCCATATAGCATGCCTTACTGCCTGCAAAGTTTGGACAGGTCCCTGGGACTCAGATCCTCACTTCTACACTAAGGCTTTGAGCAACAGACCCAACCTTGATCCTCGGGACAGTCACGCAGATTAATAACGGAACTCAAGGAACATGAAGTGCTTCTAACCTTTTGGGAAATAAAAAAATATTGGTGTGGTAGGGATGATAATACGTGTTTTCTAACTGAAAAAAAAATATCCTAATTAGTCGCTGTACTCTGTTACAATGTCCTAGGGGAGAAGGAACTACTATTTTCCAGACGAAAATGGCAAAAAATGCTAAGGTCTTTATTAAATAGAAACAGAATTTTGAGCTTCCAGGTTAAGGTCAAAGGATGACCGAGTTGGGTGGGGGGACACCCAGAAGCCTCCCATGTGACATGATGCACTCCTCCAGAGGGAGCTCAAGGGGCCTGAACTCTGTGCTGCAGAGTTTACCATGGCATCTCTGGAGACGTGCTAGCAGGGGCACAGATTGAGCTCCAGGATTCAGGCAGTGTTTGTCCAGGTACAATGATTAACAGCACAAAGCCAGGAATCTGCATACACCTCAACAATAAGGTTTTCCTCCTTCTCATCCCTGAGACTTGGCTTTTTAACCTTTTACCATTGTTTTGCAAAAACAATGACATAACACCACCAGCCCTATGCACACTCTCACACGCACATCTTTCCAGAGGGGTGGAGTCAGGTAAGGAAGGATTTGAATATAAAGATCTTTCACACTCCAGTGATGGTGTCTGCACAGTTCTGTTTTTATTTTTCTGAGGCCTTGGCTGATTTTATTGTGGATAGCTTTAGTCTTACTCAGTAGATGGAGAACTTCACAAGGACAGACACATCTGTCTTACTCATTTTTTAAGATCACCTGGTAGAGTATTGGGCACTTGGTATGCTGTCAACAAATGTTTGTTGAGTGAATGAAGAACCTCTAGACTAGAAGCCTGGAGGCAGACCCCAAAGCAAACTGCTCAGCCTGTTTGAGAACGCTTACCTGGTCACTAAGTGTCAGGCCTGACACATCCCCCTCTTATTTCATAAGAGAAGAAAGTGCTGTGAATGGATTGTAAAATTCTAGAGAGGAAGAGACGAAAGATGTTACTGGGGAGATAAGAATGCTTTCTATCCAGGCTCAGCAGGTGAGCCTCTCCTGGTTCCAGGATGGAGTTTTTTCCAACTGCAAACAGAGTTGTAAAGTGCTGTTTTCCCACACCTGGCCCTGGGTTTGTGCTTTTCTTCTAGCCTGGCAGAGGAAGTAAAAGTATTTCCTGGCATGTTTGCCAAGGAGATCTTTGACATGCAGAGACCTTTGTTGTTGGTAGGTGACAATTCAGTCTTCAGGGACTGTGACCACAAGGGAGCTCTCATTTCAAACCCTAATGTCGTATTCCAGTGCTCTGCTCCCAGACCCTTGTGTGCTTCTCAGGGCTCCATCATCACTCTGAGCTCCTGATGTGGCACTTACCTTTCCTCAAGGAAAGAAGCCGAGTCCTCAGAACCATGCCTGCAGCCAGCTGAGCTTCGTGTCTCTTGTCCTTGTCAGGATACTCTTCCCTGACAGTTCTTCCATCCAATTCTCTTCCTTCTCCCCTCCACCTTCCTAGACCCTGGTCAAAGCCATTCCAGCCCCTAGGATGTGCTATGCTTCCTGAACCCACAAGATGTCTGGTTATCTTATTTCAGCTCATTTATTTCCCAAGTAAGTTTTGCAGGGCACAAACCATACCTTCTATTGCTTTGGATTTCTACCAGTGACCCCAGGAAGGTGGTCACTCCCTTTAATGTCATTATAAAAAGCACTGGATTAATCTGGCCTCCACAAACAGAGCTCAGAGATTTCTGGAAAACTATGACCTGGATTATTGTTTATGGGTTAAGGACAGTGGCCAACACAGAAACACAGACACAAAAGGAACAAAATAGAAGAAAGACATAGAAAATATCAAAAGGTCACAAAATACCATCCCACCAGACCATTCTTTGCATTAATTTGCTTCTAGAAAACACCTGTTAAAAGTTGTGCACATACACATATATACATGCACACATAAACAGATTTCCACACATATTTACATATATGCATTTACTTATATACATAAACATTTACTTACACACATATACACTGCAAACCCTCAGCAAAGTTGCTTACCAGACTAGCTAGATGTTAATGTTGAGAGAACAGGGCACTAGTGAATAGCAAATAAACTTTGGTGTGGAAGCAAGTCTAGACCAGCAGAGAACCAGAGGCTGGCCTGGAAGGGCTGAGCCAAGTGGTTGCTTTGCCAGGTTCCTGGAGTGTGAGGTGCCAGGTGGCAGGACTAATCAGTACCAGGGAAGAGCAATAAGGCAGTGATGAGGTGATCCTCCCTGCTTGGGAAAGGTGGATGCAGCAATGGTGCTTCTGTCTTCACTGGAGGGTCCTCAATAAAAGAAAGACTATTCGCCTTTGATCACTGTGTTTAAGACTATTTGTGTTTGGCCTGCACAAGGAAGGAGTGCCATAGCCCAACATGTTAGCATTACCCTCGCTGGACTTTTGCTTTCTCCTCTGTCATGTGGAATCCGTGTTTTGTTCTTTGTAGACTTCCCAATGCCCTTTCCATGATACACTGTGGCTCCAGGGAAGGAGTCCTCTGGCAGGTTGAACCTGTAACTCCTTGCCTCTTGGTTTTGATTTGCCAGATCTGCATATTTAAATTTCATTGTTTTCTTGATAAGAAATAAAAATTCTGGAAATTGAGATTGCTAATCAGAAATGTCTTGAATCTCTATCTCTGCTCTTTTGGCATTTTTCCTAGTTTACTACAGACCCTTTTGCACTTTACAAATAAAAGGTATTGGTTTGTGCCTTGACTGTTAATGTGAAAACAGAAACCAGACAGACATATGTTTTGTTTTCCAGGGAGATGTGCATCCAGCAGGACGGGAGAATTCATCTCACCGTCGTTTACTTTGGGAAAGAAGAAATGAATGAAGTGAAAGGAATACTTGAAAACACTTCCAAGTGAGTACAGTCTGGAGCCAGAACAAGGAACCATAGTAACCGTAACCCCTCAAAAGTACACACCCCAGGCTGAAACTTGTAACACTGTGAGCCAGCTGGGAGATTGATCGTTGGCTGTGTGCAGGGGAATTCAGAGCCCTCCCTCCCAGGGAGACCACCCCGCCTGACACTGATCTTCATTGTACAGGGGTGATGGCTGTGACAGTGGAGACAAACTGCCCAAGCGGCAAGGGAAGGGAACATGGGCTCCTGTGAGCTTCTGTGTGACCACAGCTGTGGGACTGATGCACAGTCGGAGTTAGAGCAAAGCTGTGCATTCAGCTCCCTCTCAGCCACATCTTGAAAGGCTGAAAGTGACTGGTATTAATTAATGCTTAGATCTCATCCGTGTAGCAAATGGTCTCACCCTTTGCCTTTCATTCATTATGCATTTAGAGACGGTAGAGATGGTAAGGGGGAAGGGGAAGCAGTTGGGATGGCCACGAAGGATCCTCATGAAACCTGCTCAGGTGAACAGAAATCATTTAATCCAAGCCTGTAGACCTAAGTTGTATATTCATACCTCATTGATCAATTTCAGGGGGAATGAATGTATTCAAAAGCAGCATAGATAAGTTTTTTTCTCTACCAAACTAAATAAATAACCTCATGGCATCTTGTACCAGTGAGGGAACTATAACGGTACCATCATGCCACACTCTGGATTGCTGCACAGGGCTCAGCTGAGCAGTTAGGTGGGTGGTTTCAGCATATGTGAAGTTTTGAAGATGAGCAATGGTACTCAGTGGTAAAAATTCTCTGGAATTCTCTGGTCCTTGTGGTTTAGATATAGTCAGGACCCTCTTTTTTTTTGCATTTCTGATAAATGGTAACTGGATGATTATTCAGGGATATAATTCCAAAATTGAGAGCACTTTCTGTGTTTATCCTCATACTCTTTTACTAGGTTTGTATTAATGAACACAAGACAATAATGCTAGTTATAACTGCAAACATTCCAAAGTAAGGTTCACAAATGACAGCCCACTGGCCAAATTCTTGTCTGCCACCTGTTTTTGTAAATAAAATTTAATTGTAATGCAGGCAGTCCCATTTTTTTACATATTATTTATGGCTGCCTTTGTGCTACAACTATAAAGATGAGTAGTTATGACAAAGACTGTAAGACTCACACAGCCTAAGCAATTTACCATCTGGTCTTTTAAGAAAAAAAAAGCTCACCCCTGTTCTAAAGCAGTAAGGAGTTAAGAGTTAAGCTAGTTAACAATGTAAAGCTAAAGCCCGTGTCTAAGGGAGTTAAAATAGAGTAAAATAATTGAATATCCTAAAGGTAAATGAAATAGAGATGTCCCAAGTCCAGTGCTTTGAGTTGTCCTTCTCATTTCTGCTTAGGAATGAAAAACATGAATGTTTAGGTTTTGGGTTCTCTGCCCCATGGGCTGGTTTGAACATGTCGGCCAGTATCTTTTCCTGGACGTAGATTTTCTAAGTTTCCCAGGTGATTCAAACATGCCATCAGGATTGAGAACCAATGTGAGAGAAGGTGGTTGCTCACTCAGGGTCTGTACCCTGGAACTATAGCCAGGTATTAAATTCCAAGATACTTCAAGTATCTATCCAGGTGACTGTAGAATGCAGACAGAATTGACAGCTCCATCCTATTGGGCCTGGCACTTCAACACGTCAAAGGATAGTGAGATAATTGCTGGTGGTTAGACATGTATTTAAATTTATAGGTGCCCAGTGGAGAAGTAGCAGGCTAGTTTATACGTTATGGGAAATACCCTTTCTAGTGACCAAAATGCTTAAGCACTTTTATCAGGGTTTTCTTCTCCATACTAGGTTACTTGGTAAGCAGAATTCTAAAGCAAAGATTGCTTGGTGAGTAAAGAATATATAGAATCTGACTAAGAGAAGTGAACTCATTTAAGTGGTAAGAGTGGTTTACCTTAAACTTTGAAAAACATTCTCTGTTACCCAGTTCACTGTACCCCATACAGAGAACTTAATGCTAGAGACTGAGCTGGTGGGTGCTTTAAAGTAATGAATGCTTCATAAGCTTTGGCAAAATTCATTTGAATCCCATTTTTCTGTGTCAATACCCTCATTCTATTAGTGGTTGATGTCTGTTGTGTTGATGTCACTGATACTTTGAGATACATGCTGGCACATAGTGTTGCATTGATAAGGTGTCCTCTTAGGGGAATGCTCAGAGCTCTTCAGCCAGCCTTAGTTGACTTCTTATTCACACACATACACACACACATGCACGCGCACACACACACACACACACACACACACACACACACCTTCCAGATGGATCTTCCTATAACCTGGTAGCCAAACTGGCCCTTAATTTCTAACTTTGTTTTAAGCCTTAGTGTTCCCAAGCCAAACTGGGGACAGACTGCCGCTTTGTCCTCACTCATGGAGATTTCCCCCACCCTTCTTCCCTTTAGTCCAACCTCCTCATAGTTCCATCCCCACCTCCATATCTGTCCTTCAACTCTCGGAACGTCACCCACACTTTCAGCACCTCTTATGTCTGGTGACTCAACATTTTTGTCACCCTTTCTTGCAACTAGATTATAAGCTGTTCAGTAAGTGGAACTGTGTTTCATGCCTCATGGTAGCTTCGGTACTTAGCACAATGTCCCATGCAGAAAATGTTCGAAGTTTGTTCATTAAGGATAACATGATAGCAGACAAACAGTAAATTTGGACAGATCTGTATATAAACTTATGTATAGGGCTTTATTTAAATATTATTCTTTTAAGGTGGTAAAATTTTGTTCACTGGTATTTTACTTTTGAATAGTAATTATCATTCACATGAATTATCTTATTCAATGTTCACAGTGATTTTTTCAGATAGATGCTGTTATTAGCTCCCATTTCATAGGTGAGGAAATGGGTTTAGAGAAGTTGTTCCTCAGGCCAGGCACAGGAGATGACTTTCATAGATTTCTATCCAGCACTCACAGTAACAGCATCAAATTTTTATGCCTATGTGCCCCTACTAAAACCTGTAATTGTTAATCAAAAGTAATAAGATTTGTAATCAGACTAAATGAAATTTATTTTATTTAGAGATCAGCATTATAATTAAACTGCTCTAAATTCAGTTGTATGCAAACATTTTAAGAATACCTAAAAATAAAATCTTGTTTAATGACTAGTCAGTGGTGTTTTGTACTCTCTCCCTAGGTTTACATTTACTCAACCAAGCTTTGCATTTTGGTTGATTGCTAGAGATCAGTGTTTTGCAAACTCCAGTTGGTGATTCATTAGAGGATTGTGAAATTGATTTAGTAGGCTATCTCCAATGTTTGTGAAAAATGAAATAAAGCAGAGAAGAAAACATCAGAATGAATTGCAGACTGAAAGGATAAATATTTCATGAAATTTTTAGTGGTATGCCTGTGTGTGTGTGTGTGTGTGTGTGTGTGTGTGTGTGTGTACTGCAATATGATGTTGTAAGGATTGCGGTTAAAATGTTTGTAAGCCACTGCCATAAACAACAGTACAAACCAGTTCTCAGTGATTGAGTCTTAATCTACAGGGTTTTCCAAGCTTCAGTTTATCTCAGATGACCACATAGCTCAATGGTTCTTTAGCTTTGCAGTAACTTGGGATGCTTTTTTAAAATATGGCTGGACCCAGCCCTGGAAATTCTGAGTCACTAGGCCTGAGATGGAGCCTCAGAATGAGCACCTCAGACAGGTTCCATATGTGATGCTGAAGTAAAAGGCCCCTGGACCACACTTTGAGAAACACTGACTGAGATGGACATTTAGTTGGACCTGTGTAATAGGAAATTTTTTCAAAATGTAACTTGTATATGAATTGGCATGAGTTGTCATTTTTGTCCAGTCACAAGGACATAGTGGCATCTTTCAGAGAATCATGTCTGAGATTGACATACTAGAAATGAGATGCCCCTCTGCCTCAGCGTGTGTGATGGGAAGAGAGGGCTGTTGTTGTTGTGAGGGACCTGCCTTGCTGCAGTGTGTGTCAGCATTTTATGCTCTTTGAACTTATTTGTTTGATAACTACTCCCAGGAAGATTTCATCATGACATCCAAGAAGAAAACTGGTTTTCTTCTTTTCTTCCTCTCCCTCTTCCTCTGTCTTTTCCCCCTCTTCTCCCTCTTCCTTCTCCATCTTCTCCTGAAATTTGGGCAGCATTGTCGTTTCATTTTTATTTTTCCTTAAACAACGAAGTTTTAGGTAAGAATCTCATTGCTAAAATGAAATAACCTGCCTAGTCAATCCCTCCCATCCAGATAAAGAGTCCTGGGCTCTGGGCAGCAGAGATCAGTATCTCACAGACTAAGGCAGGGGGGTTAGGCCTTTGGCCAGCTCACCCAGCTTTGCCAGAGGTCAAGCCAAGCATGATTCTGATTGGTGCACCAGCTCTTTATTCACATGTGCCTGTGTCTTTAATTGTTCTTCTGGGGACTTGAGCATGGCGTATAGATTACTGGGTTGTGACAATGTTAAGTCCAATGAGTATGATTATTATAGTGCTATCTAAGGACAGTGCTCTGGGATTGGAGAGGTGCATGTCTTAGAGTGTGGAGTTGTCATGTCTGCAACTAATTCCCAAATGGCAAAACATTGGCACTTGGTGAATCTAGGCAAAGGCTGATTGGTAGTTATTGTACTGTTCTTGCAGCTTTTCTGGACATTTAGAATCTTGCCAAATAAAAATCTGTGGAAAACATATTATAAAAAAGTAAAGAATATTAAATTCATACAGTGAAATATAATACAGCAGTTAAAACAGAAAAGAGGGGCGATATCAGCAAAAGTGGTCAGGTAAACACCCCTGCAAAAATCTTCTCCTCCATAAAAGTAGTGGGAAAATTGGTTTTAAAAAAACAGTCAGAGTCAACTTATTCAGAGTTCTGGAAATTAACCAACATTTGCAGTAATTTGGAGACACTCTGTGCCAGAACGATGGCTGAATTTTGGTGTGTAAGGGAGCTTTGTGGAGT